CGGATTCCCTTTGTCAATGGACGCAATTTTCATTTGTTAATTGATGTTAATGTGAACAATTGGCTATGTAAGCTGACATGTTTGTAATAAGGAAGGCGTCTTGAAACATTGAATGGTAAAGGTTCATAGAGTCATTGTTTAATGTAAATGTATTTTATGTCTATTCATATGAATGGATTGCTGGATAATTATATTCAGAGAATATTTTTTACACTGGTAGTATTACTTACTTACTTAATCAGCAATTATTACTTAATCAACACTGGTAGTATGTACATTTATTTTTTTATTTATTTATTAGTAAGTATGAAAATTGAAGGAAGCTGCAATGGTGTTCTACGAAGAATGCAATAATGCGCGATACAACGAAATTGAACCAGAGCGGTGTTCGTTGACATTCGTGGAATCGATTGAATCTGTTCGTTTTTTCTTTTCTTTTCAGTCAATTAAATTGTCCGAAATTCTTTTGAACATTCCATTCGATCAAGAAAATGTGTAGAAGTGTCAATGATTACTCTGCTGGCTGAAGTGATTTGCTATAGAAATGTAACATGGAGATAATGACGAGGTGATGAATGGAATATTCAGTACTACTGATGTGAAAAATTCAAACACAGTAAACCTTTAATAACACAACCAAACCATAATAGAAATCTCTGTTGAATGTTTAAGAGTCAAGGGATCATTTTGTATTTGCTGAAATTGAACTTTTGCATTACAATAATTCTATTGATGTCATTAGCAGTAGTATATTCCCGCAGTGAAGGTGAAAGTTATATGATGTGAACAAATGTGCGAAATTTTATGTATTCAGAATTGAAATCAAGCAATCGTTCAGGTTCATGAGGAAGCGAGTGGCAGTATACCATTGGAAGGGTTGACCGAATTGCCGACTTGTGCGGTTTGTTTGGAACGTATGGACGACAGTGTGTTGACAATTCTGTGTAATCACACTTTTCATGCAAAATGCCTTCAGCAATGGGCAGATACGACGTTAGTTACTCAAGATGATTTCTCTCGTATTGTTTTCAGTTTTGTTTTCTTGAGCCGTAATTATTGACTTGTTAATATAATACGAATGAGAAGACATTGGTTGGAATAGTTATAGTTTTAGTATTTATCAAATATTGTGTAGTATTTATAATAATATCAAATATTGTGTAAATATTGTTGCAGTTGTCCAGTTTGTCGCCACGGTCAAACACCCGAGCTGACACCCGATCAGAAATGTTTCGATTGCGGTAAAACAACAGATTTATGGATTTGTCTAATATGCGGTAATATTGGTTGTGGTCGATATGCTGATGCACATGCGTATAGGTTAGTTTATTGTGAGGCGGTTTTAATTATTAACTTTTTTCGTAAGAGCTGATTGGATTTTTGCTTTTCTTTTGAGGAAGTATGACTTTTTGAAGTGTGATATTTTATGGGTGTTTGAAGTTATGCGAGGTTTATTGGTTCATTTGTTTTTTTTTTAATTGAAAGATTTGTTTTTGGTTAGGTAACACGATGTGAAGAAGGAGTAATTTTAGGCATTTCGAAGCCACTTCACATACGTTTACGTTGCAAATTGGCGGTGAGCGGGTGTGGGATTATGCGGGCGATAACTACGTTCATCGTTTGATACAGAGTGCTACGGATGGTAAGGTGGTGGAATTCGAACGAAATGCTACTGCGCAGAGCGATGTTCGTTTCTTCTGCGATTGTTTGTACAAATTTGACAGTTTTAGTTTTTTGTTCTTTGAAGGGAACATTTTTATTTGATTGATGCTGATGATTATTTAATTACTGAATTGGTTATTATAACAACAAT